GCACCCCCGGGCGTCCCCAATGTCCCCAGGGTGTCCCCGCGTGCTCCGGAGGGACCCCGAATGGTCCCGAATGCCAAAAAACCCGCTCCGAATTGACCCCAGATGACCCGAGGTGGCCCCAGAGTGTCCCCAAAGTGTCCCCAAATGACACGGAGTGACACGGAAGGACCCTAAATGACAAAAAGGATGGTCCGAAGGGACCCAAAGGAGCCCGAAATGACCCCAAAATGATCCAAAATGACCTCAAAAGGTCCCCAGAGATACCTGGGATGACCCAGAATGACTCAAAATGCTGAGAAAATGATACAAAATGATCCCGAAATGATCCCAAAAGACCCAAAATGACTCGAAATGCCCAAAAAGGGGCCCAAATTTGCCCCAAATGGCCCCAAGCACCCCAAAATGCCAAAAGATGCCCCCAATTGCCGCTAAAATGCCTAAAGATGTCCCAAATGCCCCCAAACACCCTCCAAATGCCCCAAGTGTCCCCAGATCCACCCCTAAAAGCCTGAGAAATGCCCCAAAATGTCCTCCCCCAAAAAAACCCCAGAAGAGCCCCCCAAACTGATCCAAACGGTCCCTGAAATGCCCCCAAACACCCCCAAATGACCCACAAATGTCCCCAAATGCCCCAAATGCCCCCAAATGTCCCCAGATCCACCCCTAAAAGCCTGAACAACGTCCCAACACACCCCCAAAGAGCCCCCCTAAATGACCCAAACGGTCCCCCAGGTGCCCCCAAATTGCTCCCAAATGCCCTCAAAACACGCCAAAATGTCCCCAAATGTCCCCTGTCCCCCCCAGGACCTGCGGCGCTACCGTGGGGCTCCCGTGGACGTGGCCGAGGATTTCGCCTTCCACAGCTGCAGCACCATCTGCAGCCTCCTCTTTGGGCCCCTGGTAGGACCTGGGTGTCCAGGAAGGGCCCAGGCGTCCGGGAGGGGACCCAGGGTTGGGGCTGGACCCAAAGGATCCGGGTGAGACCTGAGGGATCCAGGTGGGACTCAAAGAATCCAAGTGGGATCCAAAGGACCCAAGGGATCCAGGTGGGATCCAAAGGATCCAGGTGGGACTCAGATGTCCCAGGGGTCTGGGTGGGATCCAAAGGATCCAGGAAGGACCCAGGTATCTGGGAAGGACCCAGGTGTCCAGGTGGGACCCAAAGGATTCAGGTGGAATCCAAAGGATCCAGGTGGGACGGACCCAAAGGATCCGGGTGAGACCCGAGGGATCCAGGTGGGACCCAAAGAATCCAAGTGGGATCCAAAGGACCCAAGTGGGACCCAAGGGATCCGGATGGGATCCAAAGGATCCAGGTGGGACTCAGATGTCCAAGGGGTCTGGGTGGGATCCAAAGGATCCAGGTGGGACCCAAGTGTCCAGGTGGGACCCAAGGAATCCAGGAGGGTGAAGGCCCCAGGTGTCCAGGAGGGACCCAAGGGATCTGGGTGGGACCCAAAGGATCCAGGTGGGACCGAAGTGTCCAGGTGGGACCCAAGGTGTTCGGGTGGAATCCAAAGGATCCAGGTGGGACCCAAGGGGTCCAGGTGGGATCCAGAGGATCCAGGTGGGACCCAAGTGTCCAGGTGGGACCCAAGGGGTTTGGGTGGGACCAAAGGATCCAGGTGGGACCCAAGGGGTCCAGGTGGGATCCAGAGGATCCAGGTGGGACCCAAGTGTCCAGGTGGGACCCAAGGGGTTCAGGTGGGATCCAGAGGATCCAGGTGGGACCCAAGGGCTCCGGATGGGACCCAAAGGATCCAGGTGGGACCGAAGTGTCCAGGTGGGACCCAAGGTGTTCGGGTGGAATCCAAAGGATCCAGGTGGGACCCAAGGGGTCCAGGTGGGATCCAGAGGATCCAGGTGGGACCCAAGGGACTGAGAAGGGTCCCAGGTGTCTGGGAAGGCCCCAGGTGTCCAGGAGGGACCCAAGGGATCTGGGTGGGACCCAAAGGATCCAGGTGGGACCGAAGTGTCCAGGTGGGACCCAAGGTGTTCGGGTGGAATCCAAAGGATCCAGGTGGGACCCAAGGGGTCCAGGTGGGATCCAGAGGATCCAGGTGGGACCCAAGTGTCCAGGTGGGACCCAAGGGGTTTGGGTGGGACCAAAGGATCCAGGTGGGACCCAAGGGGTCCAGGTGGGATCCAGAGGATCCAGGTGGGACCCAAGTGTCCAGGTGGGACCCAAGGGGTTCAGGTGGGATCCAGAGGATCCAGGTGGGACCCAAGGGCTCCGGATGGGACCCAAAGGATCCAGGTGGGACCGAAGTGTCCAGGTGGGACCCAAGGTGTTCGGGTGGAATCCAAAGGATCCAGGTGGGACCCAAGGGGTCCAGGTGGGATCCAGAGGATCCAGGTGGGACCCAAGGGACTGAGAAGGGTCCCAGGTGTCTGGGAAGGCCCCAGGTGTCCAGGAGGGACCCAAGGGATCTGGGTGGGACCCAAAGGATCCAGGTGGGACCGAAGTGTCCAGGTGGGACCCAAGGTGTTCGGGTGGAATCCAAAGGATCCAGGTGGGACCCAAGGGGTCCAGGTGGGATCCAGAGGATCCAGGTGGGACCCAAGTGTCCAGGTGGGACCCAAGGGGTTTGGGTGGGACCAAAGGATCCAGGTGGGACCCAAGGGGTCCAGGTGGGATCCAGAGGATCCAGGTGGGACCCAAGTGTCCAGGTGGGACCCAAGGGGTTCAGGTGGGATCCAGAGGATCCAGGTGGGACCCAAGGGCTCCGGATGGGACCCAAAGGATCCAGGTGGGACCGAAGTGTCCAGGTGGGACCCAAGGTGTTCGGGTGGAATCCAAAGGATCCAGGTGGGACCCAAGGGGTCCAGGTGGGATCCAGAGGATCCAGGTGGGACCCAAGGGACTGAGAAGGGTCCCAGGTGTCTGGGAAGGCCCCAGGTGTCCAGGAGGGACCCAAGGGATCTGGGTGGGACCCAAAGGATCCAGGTGGGACCGAAGTGTCCAGGTGGGACCCAAGGTGTTCGGGTGGAATCCAAAGGATCCAGGTGGGACCCAAGGGGTCCAGGTGGGATCCAGAGGATCCAGGTGGGACCCAAGTGTCCAGGTGGGACCCAAGGGGTTTGGGTGGGACCAAAGGATCCAGGTGGGACCCAAGGGGTCCAGGTGGGATCCAGAGGATCCAGGTGGGACCCAAGTGTCCAGGTGGGACCCAAGGGGTTCAGGTGGGATCCAGAGGATCCAGGTGGGACCCAAGGGCTCCGGATGGGACCCAAAGGATCCAGGTGGGACCGAAGTGTCCAGGTGGGACCCAAGGTGTTCGGGTGGAATCCAAAGGATCCAGGTGGGACCCAAGGGGTCCAGGTGGGATCCAGAGGATCCAGGTGGGACCCAAGTGTCCAGGTGGGACCCAAGGGGTTCAGGTGGGATCCAGAGGATCCAGGTGGGACCCAAGGGCTCCGGATGGGACCCAAAGGATCCAGGTGGGACCGAAGTGTCCAGGTGGGACCCAAGGTGTTCGGGTGGAATCCAAAGGATCCAGGTGGGACCCAAGGGGTCCAGGTGGGATCCAGAGGATCCAGGTGGGACCCAAGTGTCCAGGTGGGACCCAAGGGGTTTGGGTGGGACCAAAGGATCCAGGTGGGACCCAAGGGGTCCAGGTGGGATCCAAAGGATCCAGGTGGGACCCAAGGGACTCAGGAGGGTCTCAGGTGTCTGGAAAGGCCCCAGGTGTCCAGGAGGGACCCAAGGGGTCTGGGTGGGACCCAAAGGATCCAGGTGGGACCCAAGTGCCCAGCTGGGGGCCCAGGCATCCGGGAGGGACCCAGGTGTCCAGGAGAGACCCAAGGAATCCAGATGGGACCCAAAGGATCTGGGAGGGACCCAGATATCCAGGAGGGGGCCCAGGCCCCCAGGAGCAGCCTCAAGGCCTCTGGAGGGGCCCAGGCGTCCGGGCAGGGGCCCAGGCATCCGAGCCGGGGCCCAGGCGTCCGGGCCCCCCCGCAGGCAGCCGGTTGCCCCCCTGGGGGGCTCCTGGGGCAGCTGTGGCCGCAGGGGGCGGCACCAGGGGGGCCGTTGGGCCCCGCGCGGCTCCACATGGGACCTGTTCATCGGCGGCACCGAGACCACGGCGGCCGCGCTCGCCTGGGCCGTCGCCTTCCTGCTGCACCGCCCCGAGGTACCGGCCGGCACACGCCAAGGACACGCCAAGCACACGCGTGTGCAAGGCCCCGTGCGGGTCCCGGGTCCCCTTCTCCAACCCCCACCTTCTTCTTGCACCGTTCTGAGGTTCATGCCATGCACATGCATGCAACATGTGCATGCAACATGCCCTGTGCATGTTAAGCACACGCGTGTGCAAGGCCCCGTGTGGGTCCCACGTCCCCTTCTCCATCGCCTGCCTTCTTCTTGCACCATTCTGAGATTCTTGCAATGCACACACATGCAACATGTCTTGCACATGTGCATGCAACACATCATGCACATGTGCATGCAACATGCCATGCACATGTTAAGGACATGTGTGTGCAAGGGCTCGTGTGGGTCCCAGGTCCCCTTTTCCATCCCCCACCACCTTCTTGCACCATTCTGAGGTTCATGCAATGCACACACATGCAACACATCATGCACATGTGCATGCAACATGCCATGCACATGTTAAGGACATGTGTGTGCAAGCTCCCCTGTGGGTCCCGGGTCCCCTTCTCCATCCCCCGCCGCTTTCTTGCACCATTCTGAGGTTCATGCAATGCACACACATGCAACACATCATGCACATGTGCATGCAACATGCCATGCTCATGTTAAGCACACGCGTGTGCAAGGTCCCATGTGGGTCCCGCTTCCCTTTCCCAGTCCCGGTTCCTTTTTATTGCACTGTCCTGAGTTTGCACCATGCAAATGCCATGCAAATGTGTCCCACGTGCATTGCACATGCCAAGGACATGCGTGTGCAAGGTCTCCCTGTGTCCCCAAGTCTCCTTCCCGCTGCTCCAACCCCCAGGGGCACTGCAGTGATGTCACAGTGACATCATGATGACATCACCGTGATGCATCATCATGGTGACATTGCAATGCCATCGCAGTGACGCGTGGCGGTGACATCACGGTGGTGCAGTATCGCATTGCCGCGTGATAGTGACGTCATGCTGACGTCACGGTGACGCCGCAGGTGGCCGCGGGCGCCCGCGCGGAGCCGCCCGGAGGGGGCCGGGGGCTCCTGGCCGCCACCATCACCGAGAGCCTCCGGCTGCGGCCGCCGGCGCCGCTGGGGCTGCCCCACCGGGCCCGGGAGCCCACCAGGTACCCGCACCGGCCACCATGGGCCCATGGGGACCGGGAGGCACCTGTATAGGGCAGTATAGGGCAGTATGGGTCAGTAGGGACTGGTATAGGGCAGTATGGATCGGTATAGGGCAGTATGGGCTGGTATAGGGCAGTATGGATTGGTATAGGGCAGGATGGGCTGGTATAGGGCAGTATGGGCCAGTAGGGACCGGTATAGGGCAGTATGGATTGTTATAGGGCAGTATGGGTCAATATAGGGCGGTATGGGTCAATATAGGGCAGTATGGGTCAGTATGGGTTGGTATAGGGCAGTATGGGTTGGTATGGGCCAGTAGGGACCAGTATAGGGCAGTAGGGACCGGTATAGGGCAGTATGGGTCGGTATAGGCCAGTGTGGGGCAGTAGGGACCGGTATAGGGCAGTATGAGTCAGTATAGGGCAGTATGGGCTGATATAGAGCAGTATGGGCCAGTATAGACCTGTGTAAAGCAGTGTAGGGCAGTATGGGCTAGTGTAGACCTGTATAGAGCAGTATGGGCCTCTAGGGGCCAGTGTGGGTCGGTATGGGCCAGTGGGGACCGGTATAGGGTGGTATGGGCCGGTATAGAGCAGTATGGGTGGTATAGAGCAGTATGGGCCAGAATGGACCAGTATAGAGCAGTAGGGACCAGTATAGAGCAGGAGGGACAGAGGGGTCTGGAGGGAGAGGGTCCCCAATGTCCCCATGTCCCCCATTGCCCTCAGACCCTCCCAGTGTCCCCCAGTCCCTTCCAGTGCCCCCAGGTCCCCAGTGTCCCCATGTCCCCAGTCCCTCCCAGTGTCCCCCAGTCCCTTCCATTGCCCCCTAGTGCCCCCCATGTCCCCCAGTCCCTTCCAGTGTCCCCATGTCCCCAGTGTCCCCATGTCCCCAGTCCCTCCCGATGTCCTCATGTCCCTCCCAATGTCCCCACGTCTCCTGGCGCTCCAGTGTCCCCATGTCCCTGTCCCGCAGCGTCGCGGGGATCCCCGTCCCGCGCGACTCCCTGCTCATTCCCAACCTCTTCGCCGCCCACCACGACCCGGACAAGTGGCCGAGACCCGAGGCCTTCGCGCCAGGTGGGCCGGACACCTGGGCCCCTGCTGGACCCCTGAATCCCTCCCTGGTCCCTTGGGTCCCTCCATGGTCCCTTGGGTCCCTCCCTGGTCCCTTGGGTCCCTCCATGGTCACCTGGGTCCCATCCATCCCTTGGGAAGAGATCCTGTCCCGGACGCCTGGGCCCCTCCCCAGTCCCCTGGATCCCATCGTGGTCACCTGGGTCCCCAGGTCCCCTCCCCGGACACCTGGGCCCTTCCGTGGATTCCCTTCATCCTTTGGAATGGCTTCCCTGCCCAAATCCCTCCCTGGTCACTGGAGTCCCTTTCAGACACCTGGATCCCATCCATCCCTTGGGAAGGGATCCTGTCCTGGACACCTGAGTCCCCTGGGATGGGTTTCCTGCCCGGACACCTGGGCCTCTCCCGGACTCCTGGGCCCCTTTTCCCAGAGCGCTTCCTGCAGGAGGCTCCGTCCCGGGCGCCGCTGCCCTTCGGCTTCGGGGCACGGAGCTGCCTGGGCGAGGGGCTGGCGCGGGCCGAGCTCCGCGTCTTCCTGGGCCTCCTGGTGCGGAGCTTCCGCCTGGAGCCGCCGGAGCCCGGAATCCTCCCCCGGCTCGACGTGACGGGCGGCGCCGTCCTGCGCTGCCCCCCGTTCCGCGTGCGCCTGGTCCCCATCGAGCCCTGAGGGGCACCCGGACGCCTGGGCCCGCTCAGGTGCTTGGGCTCGCTCGGGTGTATGGGAGCACCCGGACACCCGGATCCACTCGGATACCTGGGCCTGCTCGGGTGTTCGGGAGCACCTGGACACCTGGATCCGCTTGGATATCTGGGCCCATTCAGGTGTTCGGGAGCACCCGGACACCTGGATCTGCTCGGATACCTGGGCCCGCTCAGGTGTTCAGGAGCACCCGGACACCTGGATCCACTAGGATACCTGGGCCTGCTTGGGTGTATGGGAGCATCCGGACACCTGGATCCGCTCGGATACCTGGGCCCACTCGGGTGTTCCGGAGCACCCGGACACCTGGATCCGCTCAGATACCTGGGCCCGCTCAGGTGTTCGGTAGCACCCGGACACCTGGATCCGCTTGGACACCTGGGCCTGCTCAAGTGTTCCGGAGCACCCGGACACCTGGATCCTCTCGGACACCTGGGCCCACTCAGATGTTTGGGAGCACCCGGACACCTCGATCCACTCGGATACCTGGGCCCGTTCGGATGTTTGGGAGCCCCCAGTCACCTTTGGGGTCTGCCCAGACATCTGGGCCCGCTTGGCTCTTTCAGGTGGCCCGGACGCCTGGGCCCACTCTGCCCCTCTGCTCTTCGCACAAGGGTCCCTCCCGGACGCCTGGGCCCCTATACGGCGCCCTCGGTTGCTTGCAGCTTTTATTGCTCTCCCATAAAGGCTTCAACGGCCCCGGGCTCCTTCATCGGCACCACCCGGATGCTGGGATCCCCTTCCCCGGACGCCTGGGCCCCCCCGGATGCCGGGGCCCGCTCAGTTGCGCTGTGGCCGCAGCTTCATCTCCGTGAAGGGGATGGAGAATTCGAAGCCCTTCCAGGGGAACCAGTGGATGCCCTGGGGAGAGTGGGGACCCTGTGAGCTTATAGGGGCTCTATAGGGGTCTAGGGACACTGCCCTCCTCAGACCCCCACACATCCTCCTATAGCCCCTATAGTCCCCGCTATAGCCCCCATAGGTCTCACATAGGTCCCATCACCTCCCATAGGCCCCATAGGTCCCACATAGGTCCCATCACCTCCCATAGCCCTGTAGGCCTCATAGCTCCCGTCACCCATATAGACCCCATAAGTCCCATAGGGTCTCCCCAGTGTCAAAGGTCCCCCATAAGTCCCATACGACCCATAGATCCCCCACAGTTCCCATAGGTTCCCCATAGATCTCATAGCCCTCATAGCTCCCATTACTCTCTATAACCCCCATTGGCTCGCCATAGCCCCCATAGGTTTCCCATAGCCCCCATAGGGCTCAAATGTCCCCCATAGCTCCCATAGGTTCCCCACGGGGCCCCTATAGCTCTCAAAGATCCCCCACAGCTCCCCTAGGTTCCCCACAGGGGCCCACAGCCCCTATAGCCCCCATAGGTTCCCATAGCTCCCATAGGTTCCCCATAGCTCTCAAAGGTCCCCCATGGACTCCACAGCCCCCATAGGTGCCCCACAGCCCCCATAGGTGCCCCAGTGTCACCTGATGGCCGTGGGGCTCCCCGTAGCGCCCGTTGAGGTTGGCGTAGGGGCAGGGGGTGGGGC